ATAAGTGATTAATAAAAATGCCTAGTTAACTGAAAGAACTTGCAACTCTTTGGCTCCGTACAGAGAGCGTGATGGAATGCCACCCAATACGAAATCTTACTTGATCACGGCATCAAGTATGTGGGTGCTCTGTTCCGATTTTCGGAGAAAACAGGGTTGTTTTGTTGTATTAACTACCGATATTTTTGTGTCGAAAGTGAATGTATTTATTGGCGAGAATATGTAGTGTGAGAGGGCCGATAGAAGAATATTAAGCACCTCATCACAATACAAAAAGTACATACAGTTATACGAGGTGATTCGCTACTCGTACGACAAAGTTCGTCAGGTGCTTCTATACTTCAAATAAAACAAAAAGGAACAAAAAAACAAACAAAATATATAAAAGAGAGTCAATGAACATAATCAACAACCAAATTACTTTGAATATATTTTTTACTTTTTTTTATTAATCGAACCCGATAAAAAACATTAATTAAATGTGTTACGGTGTATTTTTCAGTGAGGTGGTGAGTCGTGTAGTTTTATATTCCGTCATTGTCCCTAAACGATCTTGTATGTTGTTTGTAAATGTATTTTTTCCATCTTGTCTGTCTGATGTATGTATATATTGTATCTAATGTTTGTCTCAACATTCGCATATTATGTCGTTCATGCCGTTTTTGTCAAGTGGATTGGCTTTATGACTGTATTTGTGGTCTTAATTACTGTTTTTATTCAAAATTAGTTAAAGAGATTTGTTAGTGTATACGTTTCTTTCCCTATTTATGAGACTGTGCTTTGGGGCATATCGCGTGACCTCACAAAAGACGTCCGCTATTTTTAGCGAGGTTATATGAATAATGAGACTTGTTCTGGATTGAAAAATAGGAGTTCCGTCCCACTAGCGTCATACCTAGATACTTCAATGTTTTTTGTGTCGGTACCACTTTTCCATTTATATTGATTGGACTTTCTGTGATTTTTCTGTTAGTAACATTAATGTGTAGCGACTTATATTTATTTTTGTGGGATAAGAATAAGTTCTTGGTTTAAAGGGATTGTATTCCAATATAGAGGCATGAGAAAAATTCATTAAAGGTCCATAACAGAAACTAACGGCAGAACTACTAAGCAAACGACGCGTTACGACTAGAATTATATTTGGATTTCTGACTGCTGACGACACTGCATATTCTAGAAGCATAGTATAACTCGGAGCAGCATAAACAAGTTGCCTAGCATATTGTCAGGAGAAGAAGAAGAAACAGAGGAACAGGCTGAAATTCCTACTCCTAAGAAAGGAAAAGACAAGGGCTGAAGGATACACAGCGGAACCCTTAACAAAGATTTTGGATCTAATGAAAAGCCTTAAGAGCACTGATAATATTGGAGATTGCACAATAGCCCAATATTGGTCACTGTGTGAAATGTAAAGAAGTGGACTCCTTCTAACCGTAACCTTATAAATATTTATTTTAATTTTCCAATCTTTTGTTTGCATATCAATCCGGATGCTCATATTTTGAGTATGGTCGATGCTTCAAATACTATTTTCTACCGGTAGAGCGGTGACTTCTAACTTCCCATCCAACCCCACGAGGTCACGATAGCTCAAGTGGTAGAGTAGCGGCGTATCTAGCCGAAGATCGTGAGTTCGAATCCCGCTGCTGACACTGACTTTTTTAAATCTTAACTGTAAAGACCAAATATTTTTTAAAAAAATCCCATTTCACCAATTTAAATAAACAAAATTGTCAGAGGCGCATTCCAATCGCTCCCATGATCCATCGGGTTCCCTATCGATAGGGCGTTGCAAGAAAATAAAAACAAAAGGGCTTTCCGAGTTGGGAGCTTCATGAAAGTGAAAGTTCTTGTTACCAATCGGTGAGTCAATTCCTTTTTTTTTTTTCAATTTCTTGCAACGCCCTATCGATAGGGAACCCGATGGATCATGGGAGCGATTGGAATGCGCCTCTGACAATTTTGTTTATTTAAATTGGTGAAATGGGATTTTTTGTTAATATTTCGTCTTTACACACCTAAAAACCTCAATTAATTGAAAGTTGTATTCTCTGTTGGTCACTGGTATATGGCAGAAAGAAGATTGGCTAAAAGACGCTCCCCGGGAGAACACCATCCTTTATTTCTTAAAGTTAGGAGGATCCGTCTTTTTGCTTAACTCGGAATAGTTTCTCTGCGAATTAGGAGGATAGTTGTACGTACTGGTTTGGAGAATATTTTTTAAATTTACGTATTAAATTTTTTAACTTAATCTAAGGATTAAATTAAACTCCAGAAACAGGGCCGGATGTTTGTTTTTCTTCTTAAGGTTTTCTATTACATCAATATTTCTGTCAACCTGATCTTTTTCTAACGCCAAATTAATTGTTGTGAGACTCTTTTTTTTGTGAGATGACGTTACTCAATCTGTTGTCATACTGTTGTTTAAAATTCATAATAACCGGAGTCAAAAATTAGGACACTACTTAGAAAAATATAATTTATCATAAGATTTATTGTCAGGAATAAAATAAAATGACATATATAAATTTGTATTATTGCGAACGTATAATTTCACATTTCAGATTTCGCTATGTAATGGAGTTTTTCCAGCCTAAGTTGTACAGATAATAATGAAGTAAGTTACATTTGTTACAGCATATATTTATTTTTTATTTGATATATACCATAACAAATGTAAGCTACTTCATTATCATTTTGATATCTTTGGCTGGAACAATTCCATTAAATAGTGAAATCTGAAATGTAAAATTATACGTCCACAATAATACAGATTTATAATGTCATTTTATTTGATTTCTGACAATAAATCGACAATAAACGTAATTAAATAAAAAAACCTGAGATAATTGAAATTTCAACGCCAGTAATATGAGCGTATAATTTTTAATATTTTGCTCTTGATATGTCCTTTTTCGTCAGTCATGCGTGTTATTGGGGTCGTTACAGCTCACAAAAGATATATTTAATCAACATACAAAATAATGAATTATCATACAGGAGATAAAAATTTAACGTTCCCTATTTCACAATTCCACTCGTTAGTATACATAAATTGAACAATAACATATGTAAAACATTGTTTATTGCATACCCACGAGATCGAAAACCAAAATTTTTACCACGTTAATGATTTGTTTGTACTTTTGATAAGTAAATATTTAGGTGTATTTGATTGGAAATGGGTGTTTCTATTCATTAAACTTAATTATATTGCTGTACTTACAATTAACATGGTCATTAATGATGGCCCTGCTGGCCTATATCACTTTTTTGATATTTTCGTCCCTATTTCTTATAAATATTTTCTTTGGTACAACTAAACGGAAATGAAAATGTTTTGGAAACATTTTGATCGCGTGACCTCAGAAGGCGGAGCTGTTCTCATTTTTTCCTGTGGAATGCGTTCAGCCTTTCAAAACTATCATTTAATAGGATCTCCATGTTAACACATTTTGCGAAGTTAATTTAGGTCCTAATCAAATCTTTGGTGGGGGGGTTTGTTTCGATTAAACGTGTTGGGCGGATTTTGAAGGCAGGCCTTTGTCTGTCATACCGTGGAATGTGCGACGTTGAAACATAAAATTCTTAACTGCCATTTGAATATGTTCGGTTGGGCTTAGCGAGAACGATGGTTGAAAATATAGATGCCGCCTGAATTTGCGTAAAGATGCTTGGCAAGATGGAAAGAGATGTGAAGCGGCAAGATATGAGCGTGGAGGTAAAATAAATCTACATTTACAGAAATATTCCAATTTCTTCTAAATCTCGGGAACAAAAAGTTTCGAGCCATACTTGAGCACAATGGTCATATCTCGTGACTTCCTACTTGCTTCTTCACATGAAACCATGGAATGGCATTCAATTAAGTGAGACACATTGAGAAACCTTTCTCTACATGCCAGGCACATACACGGGCTTTGACCGGAAAGTAAGTGTGCGGGAATTCGTCACATCTGAGTTGGGATAAGATGCTCATTCTGCGCTTTAGACTCTCTGGGGGCCTTCTATCGACCGTGCTCTTGATGCGAAATATCTTCTCGACCCGCTCCAAACTATTCTTTATTACTCGTTTAGTGTTAGATGGTCGAATCGCGACGTAAGGTCGGTACGTTGGACCGTCTTGTTTACACGTTCGTTGCCATTCAGCCCGACATGTCCACCCAGACAACTACCGTTTTTCCGACCTTGTTATTCGTTTTACGTGACGGCACCAATCACTTTCTGTCTAGGTTGGTTTTATAAACGTATTAAATTATACCGTGTGAGTTAAAAAACAGTAATTTTCATTATCAGAAATGTTTGCCTTTATGAAGTATAATAATTTAATAAAAACGGCATTCTGTTCCGTTCATGGGGAAATCATTTGATACAACTAAAGTTACGAAGCCGCCGAAGCGTTGTAAATTGTATCTTGAGTTCCTTCTCTTTCCGGCTGATAAATTTAAAACAGCACTTGAATCACCATTCAACCTGTCAGCCGATCTGGGTGGATTCCAAAGGAAGAGGAGATCCTACACGCCTTTTCAACACAGTTGATATTTTCCCGATCGTTGTATACAAAACTATGCATTTAGCTTGACAGGAGACGTTTATCTACAAAGCTATTTTCCTGTCACTAATACACATTGTTATAAATTTAACCCTCTTTACACATTGACCAACCTGTGTTATGATTAACCTTTTTTTGTAGTTGATTTTTACAACTGCTATTTTTAAACTCAACAAGCAAATGAGATAAATGCCCCAATGAAAGTCAACCATTTTACACGTGACAAGTCATCCAGCAGTGACCCTCTCTCACATTGAATCAATCAATATCTCAAGATAATTTCTCTGCCCTAGCTGCTTCAAAGGACCTTGAATGGGATTTCCAGCAATGTTGGTACAAGAAAAACGAATAACGATCGATGTGCTATGTGTTGTTAGCCAATATGTTTTAAAGAGTCTGTTGAACGCTTGTTTTAGTCATCAATAGATGACTGATGTAAATTAAATTCTCATATGATTTTATATTAATTTCAGAAACATTCAATTTAGAAAACCATGATTTATTCAGGAAAAGGTTTATGTATTATTATCGTCTTGTTCGAAATTTCCTTGTATCCGTACGTCCGAAGCGCTTTGCCGAAGGTAGTTGGAGGGATACCGGCCAAGGAGGATGAGTTCCCGTACGTCGTCAGCCTTCAGTACACATTGCCCAGGAAACATTTCTGCGGTGGGATCATCCTGGACGTTTCTCACGTCCTCACGGCCTGCCATTGCTGCGGGATGTTCCGAGGCCAAAGATTCGACACCATACCTCCCAGGAAAGTCGTTGTAGTCGGCGGGGACGTGCACCTCCGCAAAGGGCAGATGAGGCCGGTCCTAAGGCTCACCATCCACAAAAAATGCGGCGAGTTGGCCATAGGATGGACGTACGATTACTGTCTGGTGACCCTCGCTCAACGGTTCCTTTACGGCACGGCCCTTAAGTCGATCCCTCTCGTTTCGCCAGATATAGAGCAGCAGAAAGAAATAATATACAATTTCGCCGATAAGACGGACTGCTGGGCTGTGGGCTGGGGCCAGCAGACGTTCAACAGTAGTGACGATTACGAGAACACTTCCGACGTGCTGATCAAACTGGGCGTAGTTGTGCTCCCGTGGAAAGAATGCGAGACTCGGCTCTGCTTCGTGCCAAAAACGCGCTGCGTCCTAAACCTCCGTGAGCGCGCTCAGATCTGCGCAGTCGGCAAAACTGGCGACGTCTGCAAAGGGGATTCCGGTGGGCCCATCGTCTGCAACGGCTTCGTTTACGGCATCGTCAGCTGGGGACCCGCCTGCGGCGAACTCCCTTTCCCTTCGGTCTTCTCCGTTGTTTCCGAGGGACTGCAATGGCCGCACGATGCCTGGTTGACCGTCCTAACCAACGCGAACTGGGTCCCCGGCTATTCCTTAAGCAACATCCTGCTCCCTCTTTCTATTGTTTATTTTCAATTGTATTAAAAAATAAATCATATGCGTAACCACAACTGGTTTTACAATATTATTAACTAACCAGCCTGCACTGCTGTGTAAATATTTGCAAATAGTTCACAAAGAAAGTATTTTGGACAAAATTTTGGATAGATTTTCATTTCCTACCTAGAAAAACTTGTAGAATAACCGATATTTTTGGAAGGTAATCACTATGTCAAAGACAATTTGAGAAAAACCCATACGAAACTATAATAATATTATAAAAATGTCGCAATGTTATTAATATTTCAATGAGAGATATTTCAGTTTGGGCATTTCCGAACATAGATCTGTCTATACTCGCAGTTTTTTCTTATCAGTTGTATGTATGTACTTATGTATAGAATAACATCATTTCTAAGATAATCACGTTTTGGAACAAACCCGATAAGAAACTAGAATAATTTTAAAAAATGGAACAATCAGTTGTGTTTTTGGTATTTCAACTTAGATATCTCTTAGCTTGGACATTTCCGTACAAAAAAGTCTGCCTATATTTGACAAGTTTTGCTAATGAGTGTGGCATTTTTATGGATTAACCGCTGTTTTTCGAAAATAATCACTGTGACTAAGCATTTTGGAATAAACCCCATAAGGAACTAGAATAATTTAAAAAAGGGAACAATAAGTTATTTGTTTGATATTTTAACTAAGAGATCTTTTAGCTTGGACTTTTCCGAACAAATAGGACTGCCTTGCGACAAGTTTGCGAACAGTGAATTTTTAAGGACTAACTGCTGTTTTTCTATGATAATCACTATGACAAAGACATTTTGGGATAAACCCCGTAAGAAAATAGAATAATTGAGCCAAAATTGTTACAATAAGTTATGTTTTTGATATTTCGACTAAGAAAGCTTTTAGTTTGGACCTTTCCGATCATTTTGGTCTGCCTATCTGCTGCCCCTAATGTTGAGAAAATCTATGATTTTATATCTTTTAAGGAGAAACCAAGCACTATAAGTGTATCGTGGGGTTTTCTTTGTATAAAAAATAGGACATCCAATCCTTTTAGTACATTTTGTAAAATTAACGCTGCTTTCACGTCAAAAATATAAAAATATGGAATTTCTATTCACCAATGCTTGATAACCCTGCTATTAAACTTGTTTCTCACGAGTTATTCTGGATGACAATATCTAATTTCTATTATGTTATGTTATAATGTGTTAATATCAGTTACAATATATTATATCTGTTCTAGTAATAAAGCCATTACTCGTTTTAGATTAGTTTTTAGATTTTAGATAAGTTTGGTCTTCCAACCTACACTCTTTTGGCCTATCAGTCGTGCTTTGGGCATTGTGCCATATTTACCGATGGGTTTGTGTTATTTTCTTAGCAAAGTATCCTTTTATACGTTAGTCAAACGTCTGTCGGGCTTTTTGACGGTTCAAGTCTGTTTATTGCAATAGTCGGCCTTCTTTTCTTTGTAAGCTTTGTAATGTTTGGAATTGAATTAATTTTGAGCTGTTTTCGTTTTGGGTTGTGTATGATCGGAATTGACGAACTACGTTCTTTACTCTCAGGACTCAAGAGGAAATCTCACAATTTACTTTCTTTTTGATTATGCTCGCATAAAGTGCTGAAAGGGTGACTTGATTGTAGTTTTAATCAAGGGGTATGTGGATCGAATCCTTAGAAGCCGAAGCACTGGAGTAAATAATTGAAAGGCAATATTTTCCTTAGATATTGATGTATTAAATTGTCGTTGCTCCGTTGGCGTCGCGGAGTGTTTTTCAGGTTCAATGAAGATAACTGACCCGCTGAAAGATGGGCAACCGAACCGGTTCGGCTCATTTTTATGCATACTCCCTCAATTCCGAATTCCAAGCTGCCTGCTCCGGGACCTATAATTCCGCCCATTATCTTTGACGTTGTCTATCTCAAAAGCTACGAGAAAACGTTTAATGTCGTGCATAAGGTTGTGAGCGAATTAGAGCAAATTGTTACCATTAGGAATAATTTCGATCGTGGATATTTGTTAATTTATGACACCCTGGAAGGGATTTTGGGAGTTCTGACAACGCTAACGTTTGGCCTTTTTTGACCTATTTGTTTTCACCAATTTGGGTATTACATTCCGGGAAACTTGCAAAACGAGGTTCCAGGCTTATGACTGTCTTTGCTTTTTTTTAAACCCCTTTTCAAGTTGATCATTTGCTTTTTCCTAGATTTCAGGTATTTATCTGAGTGGAATGTGCTGAACCCACAAAGAAAGTATGCTTGATAAAATGAATATATGTATTAGCTTTATGATAAAAAAGCTCTTATACTACAGGGGATCAAACCTTTTTTTCATGTTTCGTAGACATAGAAAAGCCATTTGCGCTGACATGGCCAGGCGGCCCCAAATTAATTGATCGGGTTTCCTCCGTTTAAGTATAAAAAAAACAGTGAGCAAATCAAAACGTAAATTAAAATGTTCATAAAATAAATAAATTTTGAAAAAGGAATTATCCAAATCTGTAGCCTTTACAAATACTTTTGATCCCTAGAGGATTTCGTCGACCAAGCTTCTAATGAAATCAATTATATTAGGTTATGATGATCATGCAAATGAAAAAAAAGAAGCTTTTCTCGTGCTTACTTAAGTAATCAAGTAGATTAATTCCCCTTACTTAATCACAAGGATTACTTAACTGGTTAATTGAGTTAAAAACTTTTATTGATTGAGAAGCTAAGCTGAAAGGGGGGGATTTTTTATGCAGATTAACCTTTACAGGCCGATCAAATTTTTAAAAAAATCAAAGTTTCATCTCATCTGATGATAATTCGTTATAACATATCGGTTGTGATTATAAACGTTCACTTTAATAAAATTAAAACGTAGTTTTTCACTTTAATAAAATTTATCAACAAGCCGAATTATTGAAGAAATCGTTTATTATAATTGATATCTTGTAATTGTAGAATAGTTTGTACTAGTAATTCTGCCAATATTGGAATTATATATATTGGAAATATCCACGATCGAAATTATTCCTAATTCACTAGTTTTCGTGGTCCGCTTGACCAATTAATATCTTTAAATTAATTAAGGTTTTTAGTTGAGATAATTGGTCAAGCGGACCACGAAAGCTAGTGAATTGAAGAAGTTAAATGAAGTATACTTCACTAAAGCTCTCGGTGGCCATTTCATTTGTCGCCAAGAATCAAATAGATTACACGACGCAAAAAGGAGGGAAATTTCAATAGGTGCGGTTGAGATAGGAAGTTAGTGTCCGGGTGGATCGAAGTCACGTTAGCTCAGGTGGTAGAGTAGCGGCGTATCTAGCCGAAGGTCGTGGGTTCGAATCCCGCTCGTGACATTGACTTTTATAATCTCAACTAAAAACCTTAATTAATTGAATAATATTAATTGGTCAAGCGGACCACGAAAACTAGTGAATTGAATAAGGCTATTTTTAATTTTTATAAATTAAAGAAAATTTAAACTAAATATTTTCCATCACAATCTATACATCTTTGCCAACTTGTAATAAAAATACTTTTATTCTGCAGGTACAAAAAATTTTCTATTAACTCTCACAATAATAAAGTCTTGGGGCGTCGGAGGCCGCAACGTTTAGGCGTTGACACGGCGCTCATCACTGTGAGGTCCTGGGTTCGAACCCGACATACGTTGCGTACGGCCGTACAAAAAATAATAATAATAATGAATAAATAAATAAATAATAAAATCTAGAAGGCGTTTTCGGCTTTACCGCGATCTCTTTATCGCTCAACAAGTGATCAAAATACCTAAAAACGTGGAAGTCTGTAAGCGAGAGGTCAGATGATTACGGAGGATGGGGTAAGGTTTCATATCCTAAGTTCTTAAGTTTCCGCAGTGCGACGTCTGGCCTCCTGGCGTTATCGTGAAGAGGAATTGACCCCTTACTGGACAAAGACGTTGCAGTTTCCCGTGCATTTTGTCAATTGCTTGGCTGTGATAGTTTCACCATAATTAGAAAACTATAGTGAACAACTCCAGTACACCACCAAACATACACTATAACCTTTTTGAGTGCAGATTTGGTTTCGGGAAGTGTTTTGGCGATTTATCCCTGTCCTACACTGACACGCCTGTTATCGTACAGAATCCACTTCTCATTGTTCTTCCGATCGAGAAATGAATCATTTTGGTGGCCCAACGCGTCAATTTCTTTGGGGTTCGATTAGTTCTTGTGGTACCCAATTGTAGAGCTTCTTTACTTTACCAATTTGCTCCAAATGGCGAACAATTGTTGAGTGGTCAACACTAAGCTCTTCCAAATTTGCCGTTGTCTTACGAGAATTTTCTTCAATCAACGTTTTGGGTCGTCGTCGTCCACAAGAAGGCCTACCGGCTGCACTGTGCATTCGCTAATGCTTCCCTCCCTCTAAACTGTATCGACGATGCTCGGCCTGGGCCATATTTCGTCCAAATATGAATAGATTTGACGAAAATCTAGTTGATACATATTTAATTTCGCAGGTCCTATGTCTTATAAAGTGCAATATTAACTAAAATGTTTTGTACAAGTATTTATTATAATACGTAAATTAGATTTGCGGATTTAGCTTTATTTACACGACAAGCACCTGAGAAAATAAAACGAAATTTTCAAAACCTGCATTAATTTTGCACCAACCCAACAGCTTCCGTTACATGGCTCAACTCCCGAATGTGTAGCGTTGGTCCACGGTGGTCTAAGCGGTTTACGGCCGCCGAAGTCTCGGTCGAAGTGAAGTAGTGGTCGAACGTTAAGTCGACTAAAGACGATTGTTTTATTGCCCTTACCGCACTACAGAACCGTCATTTAACGGCTTCCCTGGTAGGTAGTCAATTCCAAACGGTCCGTAATGTAAGGGTGAGTCTAAATCAGTCATCAGAAGTTGGTGTATTCATTTCTCTTTTCCTTAAGACACTGCATGTTTAATTATCGTATGCGATTTGTCACTACAATTTATGTCTGATTTATTGATAATGACAACTCGTTAGCAATATTTTAGTTTAGCAAGATGAAAATAGTTGTAGAATTGCTTCGGACAATAGGTT